TCCCAGAAGAAAATCCGGGTCACTGAGTTTTAATGCGGATTCCGATTGCTACCTCGGAAAAAAAAAAAAAAAAAAGTCAGGTAAGTTTTGGGCTCCACCTGTTTTCCGGTTGAATCCCCTGAACTGAACCAGCCCAGTATGGACCAGCCAAACAGAACCGCTCCCATCCATATCTGGATGGTGCCTATATAGACTCAGAGAATAAGGAACGCAACGGGACGAAAGAACCAAGCAACATAGCTCATGCCATCAGGCTTCAGTCATGCGCAATATCAAAAGACCATAATGCAGAGCCATGACAGGAGTGTCTGCATAAATAAATGCTCAATCATCAACACTCAAGATACAAAAAAAAGTTGAATGCACCTCTCCCCATTTACATCATGGACGACGTTCGACGTGCAGACACGCTTACGACTTAGAACTTTCAGAATACGCCGTTCAAAGTTTGAATGCGCCTCTCCCCATTTACTTAGAACTTGACACCGTTCAAAGTTTGAATGCGCCGTTCAAAGTTTGAATACGGCGTTCAGCTGATGACATGGCTTAATGCCGCACTACATCAGCTGCATCCTGAACGGCACAGCCATACAACATCGGGCTACGTTATGGATGTACCAGACTGGCCATCATGGCACTGTTTGTGTGCTTTGGGTTTCCACGGCTTCGGTCACAGATGCATCGCGCGTATTGGGTGGGAGTATTAAGGTCTTATAAGGGACAACAACCTTGCATGCACACAGAAGCCTACACCATACCACTTCGGCCACAGTGCTTGCGGTTACGTCATAGGCCTGTATGAAGGTAGGTCGAGGAGCGACACAACAATGTCAGAGTAGAAGGCGACGGAAGCGGTCAGCTCTGACAGAGAACTGGAGTCGCAGGAGGTAGTGGGGACAGGGCTTATCTGTTCATTCAAAGGAATCAATGCCATTGGCAATTTGGCAGGCTTTCCACAAGATCAGAGGATCACATTCCTTCACACAACAGACACAGCGCAGCGCAGAAAGAACACTGGGATGTTCTGGTAGAAAGATGATGGGGCTGAAAAAGAAAAGGGCAAAAGAAAAACAAAGAATGCTGACGCGTTCCACATCATCTCACTTCAAAATTCTGTGACCGACAACTGGCATTACGAGCCTGCTCTTTCCTGATTTGTCCATGCCAGAAACATTCCTCCATCCAAAAGAGGAAACGATGGAAGTTAAGACCCAACATGTGGCTCATCATCTGGAGGCTTAAAGCCTCCAGGTGATGCACTGCACCTGGTCCTCCTCACCACCATGCTGCAGTGCTTTAAAAAAAAGGGAAAAAAAGCAACTTTCTCACACTTACTCACAGACAGTCAAGGAAGGTGTGGGCCATGACCTCCTGGACTATCTTACCTTGCGATGCGCTTGAATTTCGCACAGTATTTTTTGAAATATGCGACAGTCGTCGGAATGGAAGGAAAGCATTTGACAGGTTCGCACCAACACTCGTGTGCAAAAACCAAATCCCTTCTGCCCCACTAGACCAGCAAAGCTACCGTCTTCACACGAATAGAACGCCCGCTGCCCGGTCATTATAACCGTATATTGGTGCACTTTCAGCACAGATGCAGCAGCCATAATGACCGGGGAGTCCTATTCAGGTGAGGATGGTGGCACTTCATTCTCTGCAAGCCCTGGCTGCATCCAGCCTTAAGCTATGGCCACAAGCATCCCCCAGGTTCCGACAAGATTTTTCCACGTGCTTGCTTTTCCAGGCATGTGAGTTAGTGGTCTTGAGCTTGGCTGTATTATCTGAAAAAATACTGCCTCACACTCAACGCATTCAGCCCAGGCGGAGTTGCAGTAGTCCTTCCGCATGCTCTGCCATACCCCCCTCCCTGGCAGGTCTGCCCGTTCTTTTAAACCGCCACTCCAATGGCCCCCCCACTGTTCATTTTTCGTGTCATCAAAGTACCGGGCCAAAGTCTACAGCGCCCGGGCCCGGTAGAGGTTTGGTGCCACAGGGTACCACGACTAATTTGTTTCCTCATGGTGGCACTGTACTAGACGTTAGGCTTGCGGAAATTCAAATTTTGATTTGTCAAAAGACTCAAAACAGATCTGGATGGACTCCGTATCGAGCGGTGGTTTGACCGACTCGGATTGCTGTAGCTAAATTTGAAAGATAGCCCATCAGCTGTAGCCGTAGGCAACGATAAGTCACATGTGTGACCCAGATCATCCATTCTACTACTAAGTTTGTGGCCCTCCTCCTCTGCTTGAAAACTTCAACCCACACCCACACCCACACCCACACCCACACCCATCTGTGACGATCCTGCACACGTGTGTGACCCAGATCAAAGATGGCTTTCCATTTCCTTATCAAGCACACGTGTTTTGCTCTGCTTTGCTCCGCTCGTAAGAAGAAAGGTCTCACCTGGAGAAGATGGTGCTTTCTTCCCTTGGTGTCGTCTCCACAATGTGAAGTTCCCTCGGCACTGATAAGCACCGCAAAAGGTTCTGCATCTTCGCGAGCATGTTCAAAAAGTTTCACATACAGAAAGGAAAGAATTGGGCATAGCTGATGGCCTTCTCACTCCCACCGTTGTGCAATGGACATCAGCTGACCGTCCTTGAAGTGCCAGTACTTCTTCCTCAGAGGGTCTATCTCCTGCAAGCGAGAACACAACCTACGCCCCTTTTCGATGCTAAGCCGACATATCGATTTCAACTGTGCAGTTGTACCTTCACTCGCTTCGGTCCCGCTGTCCTGCCCACCCTCCGTTTTTGATCTGTTTCCTTCGTCGTTAATTGCGGTAACTATACTTTGCATCTCGAGGTCGAGCAGAAGCGACAAAGCGTGCACACAGAAGGGATTCTTTTCCGTAACCAACACGGCAAATTCCCTCAAGCCTTGGATTGACAAACCAGGCTGCGACCCACCGGTAGTCCGTGCGTGCATGTCCACAGCTGAGGCATTATATAGACCGTGCAAGTATCGCCAGGGGCTCTCGTTGTCTGTGTCCAGCCAAATGTGCTTTTTTACATACTCCATCTCTTGTGGCAACATTGCAGCAAGACCTCCAAGCTTGTCGTAACTTCGGATAACGGTGAATCTCTGGTTCCATGCAGAGTTGTTGAGCATGTCCTTCTGGATAAGTCGGGAACAGAAATCCAATTCACCTTCCCACATGTCATATTCTCTCAAAACCCATACCCGATGAGCCCACGCGTGGTAGTGTTTGGCGTCTTTGCTGAGACTCAGCTCCGTGAACGCGAGCTCCCCATCCCCACACTCCTTGCCCAGCCTTTCCGCGCACCACCGCCGATGGTGCCATAGCTGGTAGTTCTTCGAGTTCTCCATCGCGATATCGTAGACGAAGTTCAGCTCGTCCCACAGGTCGCTTCCCAAGGCAACCAAAACGAGCCTGCGGTAACGCCAAACTGTGTAGTTGGCAGAGTTCAGATGAATGATGATGGAAGTAAGGTCCAGTGCGCGAGGCGATCTCTCATCGAGCGCTTGGATGGCCCGGAACAACCCCATTGCCTCTTCGAACTTTGCCGAGTACGCAATTGGGACGACTGGGTTCGGCCCATCGTTCTGAGGGACAGGCTGAAGGTCACTCCACACATCGGTGTCTCTTAGGAAAGTCGTGCCACTCGCTTCCATCTCCTCTACTCTGTTGTATCACATAATCTGTTGACAATAACAAAAGGTGGTCGTTTAGAAAACCGTCACAAACGATGTACTACAGTCACAAACCTCAACTCTCCCTTCCTTTATGGGGTCAAAAGCCGCTCAATTGAATTTTCTACTCATTTCGAAAGATCCCCAAAACAAGGAATTGGAGGAGGAACAAAACAAAGCAGCCCCACACTGCAAACTCCAGGTTCTCAATCGTTGCGATTCTATACGAGCAAGATACGTCAAACTGCAAATGACCGATGTGCAATGACCTGACATTTCTGCATGTTTCTGACTCTTCTAAGTATTGCTATCTATTGGCCTGATCTGTAGAGTAGAGGTTTCTGACTCTGAGTGTAGTTGGCATGAAATTTCTGCATTTTCTGATAATTTTTTCTATCTATTGGCCTGATTTGTAAAGATTTCTGAGTCAGTGTCACATGCCTATCAGCAGAAAAGTCCAACTTGCCGCCAACCCCACAGCCTTCCTCTCTCTCTCTCTCTCTCTCTCTCTCTCTCTCTCTCTCTCTCTCTCTCTC